CCGAGCCATTTTTCAAAATTTGAAATTTTTCGCGAGCCGCAATTAAATACGTATTAAAAAGGTATGCAAAAAATTCCAGAATACAAATTATATCCGTAGCAAGAGTGATACAAATTGTTTCCTCCAGAGCACAATGTCAACTGTCCGTTGCAATGACAGTTTACAAATTCAAAATCGGTCTGGAGTCGGACGATTACGCCACTGTTTATGTTCGTTCGCACAGTTTTCGTTGAGTCATATCATTCTTAACTTGGACGGAAATGAAATTTGTTACAATGTTGCACTTAGGCTTTCATATTTGTTGTTAGTAATTTAAAAGACATTTTGAAACACATACGGAACGATAATAATTTTTAAAAATATAATAACAGAAATGAAAAGGGAACTCTGGTACATGTATTGTGAGCCACAAATAATCCTTCAAAGAGCCGCAGGTTGGCCACCCCTGTTATATACTATGGTAGTTCTTTTACTATTATGGATCAACTATAGTTGTTTTAAGATGGAAAAAATTTTACTTTTTTAATTAAAGCACTTTGTTACATTAAAATGCTGTGATGTGTGGATGGCTCATAAAAGACTTTTAACATTGATAAAGTTTATATAAAAATAAACTGTTTTAAATTTAATGTTTAATTAGATATGAAATTTCACGTATATATGAAAAATTATCCTGTTTTCAATTATGTACTTTCCTTCATATAATAATAAAAGTTATGGAATTTAGTCTTTATTAGCTTATTAGATAATAATTGCCTATTATTATGTTGGAAAATTTACATAAAATGAAATCATTAATTATTTTTTTAATATCATTTATATAATGTAATTTGCTTTTTTTTAAATTTACATTAATCAATTAGCAAAACTTAATATATATTATAGATTTTACTCTGAAATATTTGTGAACAAAATTATAAAGAATAAAAAGTAAAATTGTTTTTATTTTATTAGGAATCTAATGAATTACTGAATCTAGCAAAACAACAAGAAAATTTATTGGACAAGTTAAGAGTTCTAGAAATGAAGTTGATGGAAATGAATGATGAAATTGATACAGATTTTGGAACAGTACTTGAAGTGACCCCAAAATTAACTGATTTTCCTATTGCTGTAAGTAAATTAATAATGTCTTCAACTCTAAATAGAGTTTTATTTCAATGTGTATATATACAATATATACACTGTTACTTGAACAATAAATTCTTTTGTATATAATTCAGTTTGATTGAATATAAAATCATTTTGCAACATCATATGTAAGATGATCAAGTCCAGTTTTTGGTGTTATAATCTTAACATGTGGAGTTTGCTTAAAAACAATTGCTTTATCTGATACAAAACAGATCAAAGTCTAATTTATATCCTTTTTAGGCTTGGATATATTCCAGCCAAAAAAGAAGAAAATACGGAATATATTATGTAAAAAGTTTTTATTAATTATCTCAAAATTATAATTTACTGACATGAATCATTCTTTCTCTGAGGTTGTCAAATACCAAGGATGTATATTCAAATATTACTCAAGTTTGTTGTGTTATATCTTTTAATTGGCAACAAAATTCATGAGACTTTTTTGTGGTTACCCATAATTCTTTTTGATGTCGTAAAATTGTTTGTGTAAAAAATTTGAAAAAATGGTGCTGCACAAAAACTGGTAATGCAGAAAATGAAGGTTATTTAAAACTTTGTTCAAAGCCTAGGCCTGCATGCTGCAAAGCTAATATTGAGAAGATTGCAAACTATTGCCTACACTAAATCCTCCAAGGATCAGAAACATTGCCAAGCAGATTTGAACTTGCCAGAGAACTGTACAAAATGTAATTCATAAGGATTTGAAAGCAACAAAAGTACAGAAGACTAAAGTACATTGTCTTTCTGTAGAACAAAAAATTGCAAGATAAATGCTTGCAAACTGAAGAGTGACAGCTGCAGCAGGTAGATCAGAATTTGTGATGAGATTGAAAGCATATTTCTATTTAAGCTACTGCAATCAAGTTCAGAACATCTGTTACCCTTTTCCTGGTCAAAACATTCCTGAAAGTTGGTTGACGAAGTTTTACAAAAGTTAGCCAGAAGGTTCGTGATCGTCAGTGGAATGATTGGAAGAGGGGCACTTCCTCTTATAAAAGTCCCAAATAAAGTTAAGGTGGATGCCAACTATTATATCAGCAATGTACTGAAGCCATATTTAGAAAGAGAAGTTCTTCACATGTACCTGGGAGAGATGGACGAAGTTGCATTCCATCATGAAAAAGCCTCTTTTCACACTGCAAAGAAAACTGAGGAATGTCTTGAACATCTTAAAGCATCTAAAGGTTCCACTTATATGAAATAAATTGGATATTCCTACTAAATTGCCAGACATCAGCCATTTGCACTTCTGTTTAGGATTTCATAACAACTTTTCCATCAATATGCTACGATTCTAAGTGGGCTTTGGAATGTACTAGAGATGAATAATCAAATGTAACACCCGAAAAATGTAAAAAGTGTTTGACTCATGGAAACAGCGATGTAGGCTTGTTGAAAAATTGAAAGGAGTTCACATTGAACAGACCAAAGCAATTCACAGGAAGGGCTCTTAAAGACATTAATTAATTTTGAAGTCGAGTAATATTTGCATATACACCCTTAGTATGGCTTATAAGGTATTGAACTCTAACATTTATTATATTTTTTGTTGTTGTTGTTATATTTAGTTTGGATATTTTGTTAATTCAGAATAATTAACTTTATATGCTAGATTTAATAAAATTTATTTGATACCTTTCTAGACAATTTTTCAACCAAATTTTTAAGCAAGAGAATGTCAAATTTAATCAAAGAAGTGATTATTTTAAATATATTGTTATGCAATAAAAATATTTGGCTCAAAAACTAAAAATGTAGTCATTGCTAACAATATTATTTTCATTTTTAGTAAAAGATAATAGTAATAACATATATTGCTTCAATGTATAATTATTGATTCTACAGGATAAAATAAAGAATAAGATTTACTGACACAATATTAAAAAGGAATTAAATGTAGAATAAATTCAGTTACTCTAAAGCAAATAATTAATGCCAACTCTGACACATATCTTAATACATTTATGATCAAAAAATAGCATATAATTTAATGTGATGTCATTTTTAATTATTAAATTTTTGAAATTTATATTACTAAAATATAATTGTGTTATGTTTTCTATTATATTTATTCAATAAGTGCAATTTGTTCTATTTAATTATTATGCCTTTTTGTCCTTTTTTAACACTATTTATAATTTATTTTGTATACTAGTACATTCTATATATTAACAGGACTTATTATACTGGAATTATGGATGCAGATATTTAGTCTTACAGTTCAAAAATAATGTTCTTTATTAAGTTCACCTATAGTGCAATTTGTTCTGTTCGTAAAATCTGCAAGCGTTGTTTAAAGTGGAAGTTTCTTTCAGTGAAGTATTTGAATAAAATGAAAATATCAAAATTAGATTTAAAACATTTTCAAAATTTTATAAAAAGAAATATGTTTTCTTATATGAAAATTTTATAGTATAATGGAGAAAAATTTGAATAGTATAAAATAATTATAGCTGAACAATCTGCCAAATTATCAGGATATAAGGCTAAGTTAATAAATAATTAGATATGAAGTAATTTGTCTAGAGGCAGGTGTTTAGGTAACCATCTCGTGATAATTTTAAAAACTGTAATAAATTAATTTTAATTTAGAATTTATGGAAGAAAAGAATTGGCTCAGAGCAGGACTTCCAACTTTGCAGATGCATTGCCACTTATGTTACCCAGATGTTCATCTGATTGAGTCCTACTCCAGGCTAATTCTTTTCTTCCAGAAATTTTAAATTAAAATGAATTTATTGTAATTATTAAATTTATCATAAGATGGCAGTTTAACCACCTACTTCTAGACACCACAGGTCATCAAACTTTTTTCACAGTGGGCCAGATAACTGAGAGAATGACAAGTGCGGGCTGCATAACCATTTTGTTCAATACAGTACAGTGAATACACAAAAAATAAAGACGAAAACATATTTATTTACCAATACACAAACACAATCACTGCAGCGAGTTCGTAATCTTTATTCTTAGAAACTTCATTGCAGGTACTTACGCAAAAAGCACTCTGATATACAAAGTTGCAAAAGTTGCCGAATTTTTTATTTCACTGATTTTCCCAAAAATTATATTACTGTCAGATGCAAAAAGATCGGACCACTTCTGGCATTTTTTCTTACATTTATTTTTATTTTTCTTACATAATAAGTTTATCTACAAACTATGATATTTCCAGATATATAATTACATTTTACCTCATTTGTGGCATAGCGCAGTGGCAGGCCAGATGAACTGACCTCGCGGGACCTGATGTGGCCTGCGGGCCATAGTTTGGTGACCCCTGCTCTAGACAAATTACTTCATACCTAATTTTTAACTTAGCTTTATTATATCCTTATGATTTGGCAGATTGTTTGACTGTAATCACAAATTGTATTTGTGGAGTTATTGTTTATATAAAGTAATTATTATATCAATGAATATTGTATAAACCATATTTTTTTTCCATTTGTTTTACAGATGAGTAAATATCAGGATATTGTGATAAATGCTAATCCAAATCATCCCCCTCTAAGCGTGTGGATACTTTGCCGCTTATTGAAAAAACAGTCAAACATACTACTAAACATCCACATTCATTCTTCGGTTATATCTTTACCTGATCATGTGAAATTATTAGAAGGAGATAATTCGGATGATTTAAGAACTAATCATCAAATAGTAATTACTTTAATTTGGAAAGAAAGTAAGTTTTTGTTATTTTATTAAATTGACATATTTTTATTTGTAAAAATGCGCTTGAAATCATTTGTACTTACTCATTCATTCATACCTTATAATCAAGTAATGAAAACATGCTTGATGTTTTTCTACATTTTTTAGCTATATTTTGTTTGTCATTTTTATATAATTAATTAAGCAAACTAAAAATAATTTATTAATTTATCATCATGAAATAGAATGTGTATAAAAGAACATTTTATAAATCATTTATTTTGATACGTTCAATAAAAATTAAATTATTGATATGTTATTGTTTATTTAATTGAACATTATTAGATGAAAATAATTTTGATAGTAAAATAGATTTTCAGTATAATTTATGCCATTTGAATTATTGATTAATTAAGTATGTTTATTTTTATTTACTTAGAAATTCAGTTGTTATTAATTCTTTAAAACTAAATATTTTACAATTATTTTTTGGACATTTTATCTAATTATGATTTTGAGAATATTCAATAACTTTATATTTAAAAACTCATTAATATCTTTTTATTAAAATTTCAGCTGTTGGAAAAGATCCAGAAATGATGATAAGCCCAATAATGCAAGCAGCTATTAAAGGTGAAATAAATATTGCAAGGTAATATATTTTTAAATTTATTTTTATTTCAATTGATTTAACACATTGACTGCAAACCTATTATTGCTAAAATCACTTTCCTCACACTATTTTGACTTTGTATATTTTACTGTATATTTTATTGTGTAAATTTTTTCTGTTTTTCTCAAAATAAATATTCTGTTCTGTGGTGCTACAATTGTTTTCAATTCTTTGTCCAGATGCCCACTATCCATTATTAACATTTATTCACTACAAGTATGTTTGCTGTAGGTCAAATCACATTTCTTGAGATAACATGTAGGTGGCATCCTAAAAGAAACTGTCACATATGAGTTAACTTGTAGTTAGTAGTTATTGTATTAAGTAAAATTACTGTGGTATTATATGAGTTAACTTGTAGTTAGTAGTTATTGTATTAAGTAAAATTACTGTGGTATTATGATATCCTAAATAAATTTAGTTGTATTCTTTGGGAGTAAGCACAAAATTGCTAAGTAGAACTTATCATGAGAACCCTATTAGATGAATAAAATATGCTCCTCTTCAGTCCATATTGTACATTTGTTAAAACTGAAATAATATTTGCATGTGACTGCTGGAATAAGAAAGGATTTAAAACAACAGGGTAAAAAGAGGGTTAAACTAGTAAAACTGTAAAAGTTATAACTTGCTAACAATGTAGAAAATGACATAAAACCTTAAAATGCAAATAAAACAGCTAAAAAGATTTTTAGTTGTTTTATTTGTTTTAAGATTTCATCAACCCAAAATGCATATCTGTTCCATTGTACAAAATAAAGTTTATTCTATTCATAATATAATATAATTTTATTCTAATAGTGTTCCTGTGTGATAAGTTCTACTTACAAGTTAGCAATTTTGTGTATACTCCCAAAGAACAAAATAAAGAACAAGAAACAATAAAGTATTAGATGTATTTAATTTGATAAGAGTTTGATTTTTTAATTCAGCAATATGTAAACAAAATAGAAATATAGAAATAAATAATATTTGTTATACAGATATTGCTGATATTTTTTAATTATAAATATTTCAAAAATAATTTATATGATGATGATGTTTTTAAAATAATTTGCAAGTGATAAGATCATTATCATCATATTTTTCATAATACAAATAGTCCATGATTTATAGACTAGCTATGATTCAACATTAATAATTGAACTGAATTTCCATGTAGCATGCTATTCTTTTATCATATAAATAATCTCTACCAAGCTCTGCTATATCAGGATGATCAAACTGAATAAGTATCTTATACAGTTTTTGTGATTCTAGATGGATGCCAAAAAGACTGGATATTCGTCAAGTGGATGATAGCAATATCTTATTTTCCTAGATCTTCACTGTCCTACTAATCGAGCTCCTTGATATTTGACTGCAGCAATCAAAACAGAATCAGATATATAATAATAGAGAGGTTGCGGCCGATGTTTTCATTGCGAAAACGTGTACGTCGAACATTCGGCGGCGCCTTCCCGTGCGCCTAGAAGTTTGACAATGGTGTTTGGAATGTCGAGCATGATTCCACTACAAACACCATTGTCAAACTTCTAGGCGCGCAGGAAGGCGGCGCCGAACGTCTGACGTACACGTTTTCGCAATGAAAACGTCGGCTGCAACCTCTCTAATAGCTGTATGGAAAGTTTTTAGATTTGAAACCTCTTAAATTATAAACATAGATATAAAAAATCAAATCGGTGCGTAAACGT